TGGGGTGTCCTTTTAATTGTCAGAGCTGCATTTTTTTCTTCCATAATCTGGCTGCTGACTGTGATGTGCTGATCATTATCATTAAAACTGACCATGATCATTTTGCATTAGATTTTTTTTATCTTTACTAGGCATGTAACGATTCACAAAATGTAAAATTTGATTCAGTATGACACATCAGTGTCATGATAGAATACATTTTTCAATATAGCAAAAATGAGGAATGACTGAATATGTGCCTCATGTTCATGAGTTAATTCTAAAATGTTAATGTTTGCATCATGCACACAGCACACGTGCATGTGCAAGTTTTCAGGCTTGATACAGTTTTGATTCTAAGGTCAAGATTCAGTTTAATTTTCAATATTTTTTCTGTTAAAATATCTTGATTCTGCAAAGCTCTAATTACGTAGTGCACAGATTGGTTGGGCTCAGTTAAACAAAAAAGTAGAACTTTTTCATTGCCTGCCGCACTGATCTCTAAATAAATAACCTACCAAATCACAACTTCTGGAATTTATAAGTGCCTCAGTAATCCACTCATTTGAGCATGGGTGTGCCAGTAGCATTAGCCCCGTCCCTCTCCACCCACTTTAATCTGACTGGATGCCCACAGATGTTCAGTTTTGATAATTGACCATGATTTTCATGAAAAGACTGAAATGAGAGATGCTCAGAAGGGACAAAGGAGGTATGGCAATCATTGCTAAATAATTGCTTCTTGGTTAAAAAAAAAGTCAGTTTTTTTTAAATTAGTTGGTCAGTTGGTCATTACTAAATTGTTTAAAAGCTCTGAATGCTCATTTAACCTGGCCTCATACCCAAGCTACTAAATCACAGATTAATGCTGAGCTTGTGGACTTGGGTAAGAAAGTCATTTTGATTGGTTATACTTAGTGATATCATGATGGAGCTTTTTATTTTTTCATAATACATACTCAATGTTTAAAAAAACACTACATCAGCCAATTATTAACCATACTTAGGTCAATTTTGACAGAAATGTCAGAACCTTATAAATCTCATCAAGGTGGCAAGGTGAGACGAAGTTTATGCCCTGATCTTTAAAAGACGGCGGTGGGACGGACGACCAGCTTATGAGTCTCAGAACACGACGTCTTCCTCTCGCCGCTTCCTTTATACGTACATATGAAGCACGTTTTCCTGATTCTGACATCATTTTAAAGCAATTAAAACACAAGCGCGCCAACTGGAAACTCATCTCACGCGGACTGGACCTCACGTGATGTTCGCTGTCATGGTAACGTTTACTCTAAACGCTACTCCACGCATGCGCATCATTTTGCATCGGATCACTTGTAGTGAGCATGTAAACGAAGATTTTCCATCAAATCGTTGAATAGAGTGTGCATATAAACACCTCAGTCTGAATCTGTAATCGGATTGTATTCAATCGGATTGGCAAAAATCTTTGCATGTAAACATACTGGTGTCAAGACATCACAGTGCTTTTAAAATCATACACTCCTCATCTAAAGTAAACATTTATCAACTGTAAACCGTTTTATTCTCCCAGAGAGTTTTCTTCTCTCATTCAGGTCACTGGTTACATCCAGCCAAGAGAACACGAGCGATGGGCAGAAACTGCTGGCCAATCAAATAACGAAAGTAGAAAGGAGGAATCCAGACTCATCACTTATCATTATGGGAGGCTTTAACAGTGCAAATCTAACTAAAGAAATGCCCAAGTACAGACAGCATGTCACCTGTACGACAAGAGAATGAAACATTTTGAATCATTGTTACGCCACTATTAAAAAAGTCTATCGCATGGCTTTTGTCATTCCTAACACAGTCTCAATCACCTCATACCACATACACGCAGAAATTCAAAACCAGCAAGACTGTCTTCACTACAGTGAAGAGGTGAATCAGTGGAGACATTGAAAAGCTACAGGGCTGCTTTGAATCCACAAACTGGACTGTTTTGAAAGAGGCAACAGAGAACCTAGACGAATATACAGACACAGTGACATCATATCAGTTTCTGCAAGGACAGCTGCATTTCAACTATGGCATGGGTGAAATACAGCAACAGTAAACCATGGTTTTTAATGGAACTCGCACAGGCTTCGGAGGCAAAATGAGATTAAAGAGATTACCAACTACAAGGTGAGAGACTCCCCCTCTCCTGAACAACCACTAGCTTACCAATGACCTGAGTGAGTTCTACTGGAGGTTTGAATGCACAAGAGACTCATCTCACTACTCATCTGACCATCAACGAGTAGGATGTTAACAGGCTTTTCAGCAGACAGAAGGAGAGAAAAGTCCCAGGAATTGACCTAGTCTCTCCATCCTCCCTAAAGCACTGCTGTGACCAACTAGCACCGATCTTCACCAAAATCTTGAACAGATCACTGGAACTCTGCTCTGTTCCCTCATGCTTTAAAACATCTACCATCATTCCAGTTTCCCAAAAAATGAACATCACTGGACTAAATAACTACAGGCCAGTAGCCCTGACCTCTGTAGTCATGACTTTCTTTGAATGCCTGGTCCTAGCCCCCCTGAAGACCATTACAAACCCTTTCCCGACAAACAGGAGACAGCAGGTGTGGCTAAGAAAACACATCAGACCCCCTGACCCTCATTACTGGAGTACCACAAGGTTGCGTGTTCTCACCCCTGCTCTTCAATCACTATACTACTGACTGTGTCTCTAAGGAACTAACTGTTAAGATACTGAAGTTTGCAGATGACACCACCATGGTGGGCCTTGTAGCCAACAGTGATGAGTCTGCCTACAGAAAGGAAGTTGATCAGTTTGTCTCAACCTGCTGCTGAACACAGAAAAGATGGTGGACTTCAGGCGCAATCTCCCCTCACCATCAATGGCTCTGTGGTTTCCCCTGTGGAGTCACTTAAGTTCCTGGGCACCACCACATCCAGGGTTCTAAAGTGGGATATGCACACGGTCTTCATCGCCAAGAAAGCACAGCAAAGAATGTTCTTCCTGAGACACTTAAAAAAATTTAACCACTTGAAAAAATTTAACCTTTAAACAGTGATCAGAGAGTCCATCCTCACATCATCCATAACCATCTGGTTTGGTTCCCACTCTTTACAAGAACGTGCCAAACTCCAGCGCAGAATCAGGACAGCGGAGAGAATCATGGTAGTCTGCCAAAGCTTCAGGACATCTACAACAGCCAGGTGATGAAGCACACTGGCAAAATAACAGCTGACCCCTCTCATCCTAGACATCAACTCTTCCAGCCACTTCCCTCTGCTAGAAGAGTCAGGGCCATCAAAATCAGCACGACCAGACTTTCTAACAGCTTTTTCCCCAGACCTGTAGCACTTATCAACCACAGTGGATACTTCTCACGTTAAACTTAAACTGAGCCAACAAACCTTCCTTACAGTATTACAGTATAACTTCTCCTGTAGCATAATATGTATTTGCACTACTGTATAAATACATTTTTACAAATGTTCATATTACTCAGTAATATTCTGTATATAATAGTTTTCATATTATATTTTATTGCACGTCCTGACATACCTGACCTGCATACATACATTCATATCTGCATATGTACAGATATCCACATATCTTATATGTACAGCTCATGAGCTCCTTTCACATTGGCTGTAATTCTATATTCTATTTATTGTATATTACTTTACTTTTTCCTTAGCTCAGTACTTGTTAATAGATTATGTGCTGTCTGGTTTGTTTATCATGTTACATGTTATACAATTTTACAATTTAAAATGCAAAGTTACCATTTATTTGCTAAATTTAACAGAGGTAAAAACTACATAAAATGTGTTGTGCATGCAAAAGTTCGGACACCCTCTTAGTAAATGGTAATTTTAGCCAAATAGTTTTTAGACCACAGCACCTGATTCCAAAATGTCTCTGGTTTATCTAAGAGTTGTTTGCAAACTTTCAGACAGTAGGTCAGTGCATCATTATTCCCGTGCCAGTGAAATATTCCTATTTGTCTTTGGCAGTAAGGCACTTTTTTCTTCTTCCAGAAAGGAATGACGTCCGGTTTCTCTCCTGCACAAATTACCCAGTTTTGCTTTACATGTCTGACCGGTCTACAAACAGTTTTTTTCAGAGATATTTCTTGGTCTTCCAGATCTTCAATAGTTGTCCTTAAATTTCATTTCTTAGCACCATTTCAGAAAATAAAACTTTATAAGCAGAAAGTATTAAGATATATTCTTCCCTTGCTTTGTAAGTCTATTACCTATTGTTTCAGATCCCCAATCAGCTCCTTGAATAACCCCATGTCTATGAAATGTAAGCAGTCTTAGAGGTTTGAAGGATCACATAATTTATGCTCTGAAATTGTCTTTACTTGATTTGGATTAAGGCATAATTAATGAAATAAGCTTGGAGACCTTACAAAAAATGCGTATAGCAAAATTCATATTTCAGCTCCTTAGCAACCTTGTAATCAGAAAAATGTACATGGAATAATGTGTATCGAGTTTGGAGTTATTTTGTCTATGACAGGATGTGATGGTGCCGGTTTTCTAATAATCCCAGTGATTTTTGCCATGGAGAAATTCGGCTTAGCCCCTAAGTTTCCAATATCAGCATGACACCAACTAAAGAATGGCAACATCACTTCCGTGGTCTGTATGTCTGAATAGATTAAGTCATTAGGTGATTGGTTTTTCCACATCAGATGTAGGATTATTCTTTCTTTGCACTTTCTGCCAGTTGTTGTAAGTGCAGCAATCATCATTGCAAAATGAACCATTGCACATTGAATTTAGATTTCTTTTTTCCTCTTACAGAAAGGAATGATGTCCTGTTTTGCTCCTGCACTTTTCTGCCCAGCCTAAATGTCCCTACATAAACACGTCAGGACATTCCATCAAGAGGAATGTTAAGCTGCTGAAACAGGTTAAATATACGAATATGGCTTCTAGAAGATGTTCCAGTACTCAGCAAATGTCATCTGGTACCCTCCACATAAACACATCTCACAGACAAATACAGAAGTGCAACAAAGATAGAACTCACTACTGCTTGGAGTGTGGAAAGAGTTTTACTGGACAGAGTTCTCTCAAAAGACATCAGGGTATTCACACAGGAGAGAAGCCGTATCACTGCTTAGAGTGTGGGAAGAGTTTTAATCGTCAGAGTCATCTCCAAGAACACCAGCGCATTCACACAGGAGAGAAGCCGTATCACTGCTTAGAGTGTGGGAAGTGTTTTAATCGTCAGAGTACTCTTCAACAACACCAGCGCATTCACACAGGAGAGAAGCCATATCGCTGCTCGGAGTGTGGGAAGAGTTTTACTGTACAGAGTCATCTCCAGCAACACCAGCGCATTCACACGGGAGAGAAGCCGTATCACTGCTCAGAGTGTGGAAAGAGTTTTAGTCAACAGAGTAACATCCAAGAACACCAGCGCATTCACACAGGAGAGAAGCCGTATTACTGCTCAGAGTGTGGGAAGAGTTTCAGGCATTCAAAGACTGTGACGACACATAGGTGCACTAAGAGCAGTGGTGGAAATAGGCAGTAAAGAGTGTAACCTTAACACAATCCGGGAATAAAAGTCTCCTGGAATCGTGCTTCCAGCCCAGGTTTCAAACTGTTTTTAGGGGGAAAAACATGGTATTGTTTCTAAAACATGAGCATAAAATGAAATGATTTCTTTTGCTGAATACCAAATGAAGCCTACAGCTCATACACACATGGTACTGCATATTCTCCCCAAAATGAGTTTCATTTGTATTGTATGTTGAAAAAATTCAAGAATCTCTGCATTCAATATTAAGTTTTTTACTTTCTAGTTCGGTATATCTAAGCTTTTATAGTGTTTCTGATCCAATAATGGATGTTTTGAAAGCATTTCCAGTGTGCCTGGCTCCCTGAGTCTCATTTGCTCTGTTGATTTCTACACAATAATTAGTTAATGCTTGTTGCAATAAAAGTGCCACTTTGTCTTCCCTTTTAACCTTTAGGAGATGTTCTTCTGTATGTTCAATTGTTCTTTCCTACTGCTGCAAAAGAGATATAAAGACTGCAAAATTGAAGTTTTTGCTGTGCTGGGCAGAGCTAAATAGCTTTGTAATGGAGACTCTGGAGTGTGAAGCATAGGAAGACATCAAGCTGTCTGAGTGATGAACTGGTGACCTCTCCTCAGTATAGCCTATGTATACCTGTTCTACGCAGCATAAAGTTGCATAAAGGCCAGACTGCAACTTGTCTATAAACTTCCCATTACTGTTTTCAGAAACTTTAAGGACGGTTGTTCCTTGTGACCCTTGGAGAGTGAATGTTCTTTGAGAAGGATGCTGTGACATAAGTAAGGACTTGTTTATACCCGTCTCCAGTCTATCCCACCAGACAGTGCAGCGGACTGTGGTACAGAAGTTGGAAATGGGCATTTCCATTATTGTTGAACTGGGTGAAGGGTGACCATTTGGGGTTGTTCAAGGCCTTGGGCTTCACTGAGAGCAACTCTTGCTGACATCATTAGGATGTACATGAGAGACACTATCTGTGTTGACACAGTCTCACCAATGGCACTGTGTTTAGTTATGTTCCTGTACCAATCCAAGTCTGCATATTATAGTTTTGATTTGTAATGAATCAATATGTGCATGCAATTTATTATGTAGATTGTCTTATTTACTTATCATTTCATTAAGGTATAACTACTTTGACCAAGTCTGTGTTGGACAGGGAAGACGTGTAGGTGCTCTCAACCCCCACCTACACTGTCTTTTCTTCTTCTCTGTCCCCTCCCTTTTTGGTTTAGTCAAGTTTTTGTGAATGTGCTTACCTGTTGAGATTATTTTCTTAATTTTTCTCTATTTTTATTCTTTTAATTAATATTTCCTTTTATGTTCTTTGTGTAAACCTGAAAAACTATTGAATTTGATCTATACTTTTGAACTTCACCGTGTAGTCTTTTAGAGAAGTAGATTACATCACAGAAATTATGAATGGGTCTTTTTCATACATTTTTAAATTTTTAACTCAGTCGTGCTGTGGTAAATCTTTCCACCACTAGATAAGCTTTACCCTGCTTTAGCTTCTGAGAGGCAACAAAAGCAGGGCTTCCTACTTTTCTTTAGCAAAAATTGGCAGGCAATACAGTCATTTAAGGTATTTAACCGTGCTATATAGCCTAATAGATGGAATATCCTAATAAACTTCTTTTTTTCTTTCCCATAATGTCATCTACACCAGAATCAGAACCAGTTTATTTCAAAATGTTACATACAAGGAATATCATCTAATTTTCCATACTGCAACCCTAGAATTTGAAATAGTCAATCTCACTGAACTAAACTTACACATCACATGCCCATTAAAAAATGGTGAACTTGGGTGGGAAAATTCATTAAATTAGGGTTTTAACTCTTAAATGATGAGCGTAAGCTGTTGTCTGTAACTTCAGTAATGGGCCACTTGGCACATGCCACACTTGGGCCAAAAGTACTTAGCCATAAATAAACTGAGCACTCATCTGCTGCAACGTAAAGGTCTGGCCCTCTTCGTTCATTGACACTGGTGGGCCACATCTTTCATGCCAGATTTGGCCGTTAAACCAGGGGCGATTCTAAGATTCTAAGAGCTCACCCAATGAGACCAGAACTTCCTTTTAAAAAAAAAAAAAACACTTTTTACTCTTATTTTTAGAGATGCTGGGGCTCAATTAAGGGGTCCTTGAGCACCCCTAAAAAAGGGCTAGACATGCCTATGCCTTAAGCATAGGTCCAGCATCTGGCCCAATTCTGGCCCACAAGCCTAACATCTATCCCAAAGCCAACCAACACTTACATATGTAAGCCAGAATTGGCCCAGAAGTGTCTGCTGTCTGGGTGGGCCACTTATGACATGCCAGACTTGGGCCAAAAGTACTGAGGTGTAAATCAACCAGGCACAAATCTGCTGCAACTTAACTGTGCTGTGGACCTCTTCCTTCATCCACATTGTTGGGCCAACATTTTATGCCACAGTGGGCCCTTAAAGTGGATAGGAGTCAAAATCATACATAGCTGTCCAGCACCTGGCCCAATTCTGGCCTACAAGTCTAATATCTTCTAGAAGTCAACCAGTACTCGCAGATGTAAGCCAGAATTGCTCCAGAAATGTCTTCTATCTGGGTTAGAGTGCCTAGACAGCAATATTCAGAGTTTAATAATATCATATTAGTACCCATTTTATTTAAACAGCTTGTGATAGAATTACAATATTTTAAATGGACTTTGGTACAACAAAATGTATATTATTGATGTGTGTTATATAGATAAAATATATCGATAAATATACAGATATAATTATAACATTGATAGTAGGCAGCTTAGAGGTTATATTAACAGTGTGCTGTTGTGTTTTGTAGTAATGCTTTTGGTGTAATAAAACAATGAATGGAAAATAGGACCACACTAAACCAAGACTCCATATCGACTCTGCTAACGTGGCTTGCTCACTCAGTGTAGCTCCATCTCCATGGCCAAGCATCGGGCAGTGTTGCCAGATTGATTCTATAGATTACCACCAAAAAAATTTCAAAACCTGCCAAATGCACAAAAAAACACCCAAAACCACATCTGAACCACAATACAAAATACAGCATTAAACCAACGTGATATCAGTAATAAGCTTCTGAGTATGTTTACCGCTGATGTCTTCAAAAAATTTGCAGATTAGTATTTGTCACTAGAAGGCACTGTCTGTCTTGAACAAATGTGTTTATCACTGAGATGCCATAAAGCACTTCTCAAAGTGAATCAGGCACATCAATCACACCGTTTGGGTGTGGCATTACCTCATTTTGCCTGTTCTCCTCACTGGATTCTGAGTGATGCCTTCTTCGAGAAGGCTCCTCTACATCATTCTCCATTCCAGAGTCATCCACTTCATCTGATGTCTCGTCCCTCCTCCTCCTCCAAATTTTTCTGTTGAATGTCCCCACCAACAGTAAAATAACACCTTCTTAAATCAAGAAAAGAAGCATTCCCTAGAGCTCATACATGTAGGATTACATTGCTACTTGGTAAAGCAGGTAAGAATGTAAAGGATAATTCTTAATTTTAGAATATATATTATGTATTCTAATAACTGAATATCATGTAATTATCAACTATCATCAAATACAATCTGGAAACCAGTCCAAAATTCCAGAAAGTACAGATCAAGTTATCAGTAACACTCAGACACAGAACATCTTCTCTGTGTCAATGTTCCCAATCAATGAACAAAATAAGGTAATAGTGGTATTTACATGTACATTAACAATAACATGAATAAAGACAATAAGAAAAACATTACAAAAAATATAAAAAAAATATTAACTCTATTTTTTAAATTTAGGAACAGCTCTCACAAATCTATGCTACAGAGAAGAGAAAATCATATAATTGCTAGATTCTCACGACATGCCACGCTGGAACTCCAGGAGGCAAAAAATGTTTTCCTGCCTAATAGACCCAGGAAAGAGTGAGTTGCCTTGGCTTTCTAATAATGTAAGCAATAATATATACTTAACAGGGCCATTATTATAACATGCATTCCTTTCTTTAACTCTGTATCTGTTGCAGTCAGAATGGTCAGTGGGCATGTTCAGGTACTGCTGTGGCCTGTCCTCTCCCCATTTTTAACCATTGGTTTAGAATACTGAATAACTCCTGTGGTAGCATTAGTGATACTTCAAAAACAACTCAAAATAGGAGTTAATGTAAAGATGCTCTTATCTTACATTGCAGACCAGCCATGCAAAAAAGAAGCATACTTAAGTACATTAATAGTGTGCATGAAATATATAGAGAATACAAATAGTACATTTTTATTGCATTTATTTTATGGGAACAAAATACACTTAAGTTAACTTTGATATATATCTTTAAAAAGTATATTTTTAAATGCATGAGTATATATATACTTCAAAAGTATTATATAGTATGCTGTAAAGCAATACACTTACATCACTGTATTTCTTAACACAGTGAAACATACTAGCAATTGAACCTGGGTATTGGTACATCCAAGAATATATACATTTAAAATATGCTTTATGTGTCTGTGTCTTTGTGTCTTAGAAATTGCTTAAGTTGCATTGCAGCAGAGGTTGTTCCAGTTTAGAACAGAAAATCACTTGTAGGCAAAGAAGATTTATTGCAGCATGACTTAATTAGACACAAGTATTTATAAGCTGTGTTTAGTTATTCCAATATAATATATTCAAGTATACACATAAATGCATGCTTTTAAGTATACATTAATACATGCTTTGTTTGTTGAATGTATTTAGGTTTATTTAGTGATACTGAAATATGATTTAATATGCATTTAAGTGCATTTTAGTTGCAATAAGTAGTACTGAAGTGCATCAGTACATGTTTATAACTTATGGTTACAAAAAAAGCACTCAAAGCACAAAACTTTGCATTTAATATATATTTAATCATAATTACAATATAAATACACAAGTTGTTCCAAAATAATATATTTGGTATGCAAAAAGTATGTTTAAA